AACTGATGGAGAGAAATAAAAACTTGGCAAACACTTGGTTCACAGCAAATAAACTGAAACTGAACGATAAAAAACCCAGAATATTGTGATATTCTCAAACACCAGTGTTACTCTAAGAGACAGTGTTAAGTTTCATATTGATGCCAGACTTAGTTGGTTCAGCCATATTGAAGCTACTACTCGTAAGCTGTCTCAAGAACATCTCAAGAATATTGAGATATTTCCAAAACGCTCTCACAATCATGATTATTCAACAAGATCCGTATGTTTATTGAATAATACAAGACATAGGTTAGCAGTTAGTCAAAAAAATCCTAAAATTTGCATTTATACAACTGTCTCCATCCTTCAGTTGAAACTTTGAATTTCAGAAATTTCAAAAGTAATATCAACAGATATCTTTTTAACCACTGTTTCTACACAATCGAAGAATATGCTGCTGTAGATGGTCAATTCATAGTTCTTGAAAAATGATTCATGTTGTAAAGCTGGGATAAAGCCTCTTCTTATGTTTGTTGACCTTTTTATATTGATATCTTTATTTTATTACCATTCATGTGACAGGAATTTTGATATGCCTGTTTAATTTATTCCTAAAATTTATTACTTTAATCTACATACGTTGTTGCTAATTTTATGTGTCTGACATAGTACCTATATAGTAAAGTATAATATATGGCAGCTGCCATAAATGTATTTTGTATATAAAGTGGTCACATAAATTACTCCACTCTACTCATTTATTCAAAAATCTACCCGAGTTGCACAACCCAAAACAGATAGGTACTGTCTGGTGTGTTTTATTTTAAATTTTTGTTGTTGTTGTCGGTTACTTTGAGTGAGAGTCTAAACATTTCGCCGAACCGACTATTTGTCATTTCTCTCAAATAGAAAGTAATTACAAGTTAACCTCTTTCTGTTTGTTGATTATTGGATAATTTTTGATGACATAATTTGGCTAGATGGTGAAATGAAAGGGGTACTAACAAATTTCATACAGTGTAAGTATATTAAAATCGAAACTGTTATTAATGGTTAGTTTGGAGTTGGTGATAATGATTTAAAACTAATTTCCACAAAAATGATGAGTATCGTAAACGCCATGAATATCTGTTAGATGCTTCTTCAAATATTTCTTAGTGTAACTCTTGAGGCAGTACACGCAAATTGTTATTTCACCCCTTTTGTGAGAATTCATGTGAAAATCGTACAAACTTTTTTTTGCAAAATTTTTCTTGCATTTCGAACATGTGTACGTTGTTACCCTGTAGTTGAAATGAATTTGAATGTGGTTTTCCAGCTCTGCTTTAGATTTAGTTTTGAAAGGGCAGTGGTAACAAAATAAGTAGAGATCTTCAATTTTACTCGAGCCTGTTGCTTCTTCCTCTAAATGGAAAAGTGATTCATGTCGGCCAAGTGCAGATTTCCAAAGAGTGAAGAAGTTGCAGCTATTGCAGTGGTAGAATTTCAATTCCTTGTGTTCGGCACGAGTATGATTATAGAGCCCTTCCGAGTGCTTGTATTTTTTGGTGCATAGTCTACAGTGGTAGTATCCCTCGTCGGATTTTCTGTTAAAGAAACTGAAAGAAAAAAAATGGTCAGTTCCAGTTTAATAAAATCGCTGCATCAGACATAAATGAAATCTGAAAATTTTTCAAGGAGAGGTTTTCAGGAATTAGTGTGTATGGGTGAATAATATACACTAATGTGCAAAGGTGACGCATGAACAAATTTTTTAGGTAATCGAAAATTTTCTTAACGGGAAAACATATTTTAAACAGATTTTTTTGAATCTTCAAGTACTTTTATTCTTATTTATTATGTAACATATGTGAATATCTTCCGAAAGTTCAACTCTCTCGAATTGACATATATTTCCGCAAAATTGTCAAACAGAATTTAGGGTAGTGCAATACCTCACTTGAAAGATAATCCTTTTGAGCGTAGTCGTGCAATTAGGAACAGTCAATTCTTTATTTCATTAATTGTGAATATTCAAAAAACATCCTGAAATATATTTTATAACAATGATTGATTACATTAGCCCTTATATAACACCCCTGTTAGTAATAATAGAAGTAGGTACTTTGCTTGATTGAGTACCTGAATTTTGTTTACTAGTGACAATTTGGATATGCTATTTTGAAAACCGGTGAGTAAACTAAATAGATTTGATCATTTAACAGGTTGCACCCGCAATGTTTACGCTTGTGAATTTCCAAGGATTCAAATAATTGAGTTTGCAACGCTTCCTTGCATAGTGCAAAATTTTCGTATCGTTTAGATTCGGGAACTTGTGGTTGCATGCCAAGCAATGGTTTGAAAACGTCGAATCATTTCTACCTAGTCTGAAGGATCTTTCATGTTCATCATACCGTCTTAGAAAATTTTGACCACATTGTCCCACATAAACACTATTACACTCCGGACACTTGAGCTTATAAACTCCAGATTTCTCCAACTTGTCCACTTTATCTTTGGCATTGAAAAGGATATCAGAAAACCTGGCATGTGGTCTGAATGCCACTTCCACATTGTTTTTTCTGAAGAAACCCGCAATTATCTCTGTTCTTTAATGTTAGAGTTACCCATTTCTTGATTTCTAGTTGTATGATATGGGGGTATATTAATCTGTAAGTGAATTTACGGCTTTGTTTTCTGACTAATTTCGGAATTGCATCTTCGTTGAAACTATTATTATGACCTATCTGTGTACAGCAGAATTCATATATAACGACTCCGCTTATAACGACTATCCGTTTACAGCGACGATAATGTTTACTAAAGTTTAGTTTCATATTTAGTTATTGAGAAAATATACCGACTCCGGTTTAAGCGACCAACCGCTTATAGCGACCGTTTTTCATGATAATACATCCGGTTAAAACGTCTCGCAATGTTTTGTTTACACAATCTGCGCACCAATACCTTGGTGCACTCCCTCTTCTTAGGTACCTCTATTGATAGGTATTGATTTTACGCCAGTATGAAGTCTTTGTCACTTGTCGTAAGTTCATAAAGTTCGACAAAATAAATTCTGTGAAGCGAAAGTGTTCTACAATTGAAGAAAAAAGTGCAATATTACACCGATTGGAAGCCGGTGAATCAAATGCAGCCCTCGCAAAGGAGTTTGGCGTATCCCATTCTACAATATCAACGATTGAAAAGAATAAAGATAAGATCGAGTCGCTGTTCAATGCCAATGTTTCAAAATGCAAACGTATAAGGACTTCTACTCATGAGCAGTTGGATAAGGCATTTCGAAACAATGTACAATGTAGCCTAACTTCAAATCCAGATGATTTTAACGAAGGAGACGACATGCCGCTGAACATTTGGGCGAGGGCTATGCTACGATACAACATGAGTTACCCATAACAAACAAGGACTTTGAACAATACGCATGTATCGATGATGCTGTCGCCACTTGTGAGGAACCGTCTGATGAAAACATTGTGGAAAATATAATTGCCAACGACGCGAATAGCAAAGATAATGATGGTGATGATGACGCACTAGAGGAGATTTATCCAACCTTGAGTCTGTCTGCAGCTCTGAAGGCTGCGGAAACGCTCGATGTGTTTGTTTACACTAACTTGAAAGATGATGTTATGAAAACAATGATGTCGCGAATTCATAATGCTGTACGAAATTATTACTACCGAACAAAAGTTTGTCAAAAACAAACTAAAATAACAGACTTTCTACGTTAGTAACACAGTTTTTTTGTGCATTGCGTGTGTATTTTATCTCTTTGTATTACAGTAGATAATGTAAGTACATATCTTTGTACATTAGGATACTTAAGAACTATTAAAATAAAGCATATGTGATTTCTATAAAATGTTTTATTCACCTTTCGATCAGCAATCCGAACAGCAAAATGAAAGACTAATGAACTAATGTACACTAATGTAATGTACACAAAAATAATCTTTTTTTGTGCGTCGTTCGGTTAGTACGACATAGTATCTCCGGTCCCTCGAAGGTCGTTATATCCGGATTCTATTGTAATGATAACAATTTCCCTAGCTAGATTGTTAGCAGACAAAGGCAGTGAGAATGCTCTGCAACATAAGTTAGCAGCATACAATTCAATTGAAGTTGATTATTTTGAACATACTTTTGTTTGAGTTAATTTTAATAAATATCATTATTATAAGTTAATAGCTGGAATACCCGGCTTCGCTCAGCGAGTTGCATGGTAGTTGTAATAAAAAGGATAGACTTGAAATTATAATAGGTCGATAGCTCTTGTTTTATATGATCCAAGATGCGTATAATTGCGTAATTGTCAAAAACTTTCGACCTACGCTACTCATGATATAGACATAAGAAAGGTATCCACAAAAAATTTCAGCATTCGATGCACACTGAGTACACCCCGAATGACACTACTTGAAGAAGTGAAGTTGGGACTTGAACTTTCAATGTTGTTTACATTTGGGAATATATTGATATAGGCGAAAGATTTCTTTACATTGAAGGGATGACCTATTGGCAAAAATTTAGCAATTACAGAAGAGAGAAAACTGGATTTTCAAAAATAGACTAATGAAAATCCTGATCTGCATCAGGTAATATTTTATTACAAAAATGGATGGCCACGTTATTGACATGCAATGNAGGTTTGTCAATTTTTTTTGATTTTCGATGCACTTGTGTTTGAAGTTTTCAATGTTTTTTAGGAAATAGTAGCATTGCGTGCAAACTATTGAGTCTGCGGATATACTTGGCTTCTGGAAATAATAATATTTCAACATTAGTAATAGAAATATTAAATTCGGGTATATTTTTTATGATCAGTATATCGGGTAATAGTTTTTAAATGAATTATCGGATATTTTTTTCAACAACGATACCATATTGAAGTAATGAGCATTACCAACGTTGAAGCTACGGTATTAGCGAAACGCGTCTAGTAAATTAAATGTTTGTGAAAATTTTTTAGTTATTATCATGGCCACGCGCCATGATAACGCGAAACGCGTCTAGTAAATTAAATGTTTGTGAAAATGTTTTAGTTATTATCATGGATAACATATCCTAATGTTTGGGACAAAAATCTGCCTCTCACTTCAGAATTAAAAAAAAATTAATGTAAATTGCAGTTGTTTCTTCGGTTCGTTTAATTTTTAAACTTCCTCGATAGATGTCCAACGACTTTTGAAATGTCAAATACACTTTTTCTCCAGATATACTAATTTAAGCTGATTTTTCGAAATTACGTCTGTCAGAGTGGGGTTCACTATCAATCTTTTCGTCTTGATGTTCTGATTTCAAAATGTATTCTGACAGTTTCGATCGTGTTAAATGTCCATTTCTTATAATATCGATTTTCATTTTCATGCACTTTCAATGGCCTTGAAGTTTAACTAAAATAAGTTACGCCACAAGTTATATGTGAAGCAGGAAGATTCGAGAATTTGAGAAATGTTGACGATGTGTTTGTTCTTTGGAATAAAGGACTTGGTGATCTGAATGCTTTTTTGAATTATCTTAATGATGTTATGTTGAATACTTTGAATACTTTCACTAACATCAAATCCAAAACAGAGTAAAAACAATTTGTATCTGAAAATTTTAATAAAGAAGTATCAATAAAAAAATTTGTCCTGAAAGAGAAAGCTTATCAAGATTAGGTCGTATATTCAACAACAAACGCAATAGAAAACAAACAGTCAAAAATCAAATTTCCCTACAAACAACAACACCAATTCAACAACCACTAACTCAAAAATCACCGGTTCAATGACCACCGACACCTTTCACAACTAATGTATTTCATATTCCAGGACTATCTGAAAAGGTAAGACGATAATTTAATAGAACTGGCCGATACTTGATGAAAATCCATATTCAAACTAATAGATAGAAAAGGACGCCTCTATACATTTTTTGGACTTGACAATAACGAAAGTTAACAACAAACATTATTTTTCAATTTATCGTAAACCAGCACATACGGATATTATCATTCATAATTCGTCCACCCACCCGTATCAGCACAAAGTAGCAGCATTCAACAGAATGATCCACAGA